CTGAATTTCTACCTCCTAGTGCTAACAGTGAGGGCAGGAAATGTGGGAGGAAGTAGTGTCGGAGAAGGTAACACATCTAAGGTATCCATGGTGCCACTGTTTAACAGGGAAAAATTTATGTCCCAAGTCAGCTTCAGAAATGAATAAATTATGGGAAAGTAGTCATTATTAAAAAAAAAGAAAAATGCTAGGACTTAAACAAATATGCCAACTAGCATTCACAGACTATTAAAAAAAAATTTTAACTTGCATGCCAGTTTTAAGAGGTTAAAAGTCCTTCGCCATTTGAATGTGTGAAAAGTCACAGTATATGAACACATACTGAGAGAAAAAAACAATCAACATCAAAACCAGAGAGGACAACAAAAATTAGAATTATTTACATGTTACCTTGTACAGTTTCTGATCTATCCCATAACAGTAAATCAAATAGGTGACAAAACATGAAAGCAAAAAGCTTTTCCTGCTTCTTTTAATAAGGTAGGGGGCCCTAATTAAAAAGTTAACTTTCTGATAGCAAGAAATTGGACAGGCATCAAACCAATTTATTCTTCATCAATAATTTCTGGCTCAAATAGTGATGGGGGGAGGGGAAATCCAAATGCAAGAATATCACTAATCAGTGCAAAAATGCCACAAAGACAGCTACTGAACACAGCATGCTTTCCATACTATTTGCAGTCACATGAAAAATAATGCAACTCTGAACCAGAAAAAAATCTGGGGAAGCTGATCAGGGCACATATCTTTGCTTTTCCCTTGGGCCATTAGGGCAAGACAAAGGCCAGCTGCTGTTCTAAAAAGCAATGTTAACTTTTTTTTTATCTAATTTATCATCCGGGCTAAGAAAATCACAGGGTTTTGCAACTGCCTCTGCATGTTTCTGTAGCAACAACTCTGCATGCACAGTGGGACAGTAATTCCACCCAAAGGATGTCATGTACCTGTGCTGTGTCCCAAACTGTGAAGGGCAGTCAGACACCATGGAAAATATCACTTTACCCATAAGCAATTTGTCAAATGAGATTTAATCCCCATGCTTCCCTCACCTGCAGTGCCATAGAAAACAAGAATCAACTCCAGTACTGAGAACAGCATTTTTCATGACTGCAACAGCATTAAATTGAAAAAAAAAACCAAACAACAACCAACCCATCCAACAGTTCTGTTGGGTCATTAAATGAGGTGATAATACTGTTGTGGAGTTTTTTGCCCTGTCTGTTCAAAAGGAGTGAGCTACGACTTGATCAATACTCTCCAGGCAGCTTCCCCACAGCTGGGTTGCCCCGGTCATGAATTAGATTCCTAGCAGAGCAAAATGCCTCCTTAGCCAGTAAACATCTGTTCACTGATGCACTTGGGTTTTGTATTTGCAGAAAATAGCTCACACGCTGGTTTTGTACTTTACTTGCCTTTTTTTTTTTCCCTGCTGCAAACTGCTGGTGGCTTCCACTTATACAAAACATTCTCAAGATGTTTGTCACAGCTTGCCTTTCACTTAAAAATCCATGAGAATATTACAAGCTAGTTTTTATGATTGCCAACACTTTAGCTATTCTTCAGTCCTTTGCTCTGCAATTTAACTTGTAATAGTGTTCACTCTCACTGTAACCCTTTGGGATCTCGTTTCTGCCACTACAAGCCTTCCTATCCCTGCCCATCTACAAAAAAAATCCCTCAGCATCAACTACACGAATGCGCCCTCTGATCTGAGCAACCACCAGCCACACACAAAGATCCACAAAATTAAAAGCATTTTATACTCATTTATGAGACTTCAGTGAGTTCATTCCAGTAGAATTTCTACTCCTTGACTGACAACATAAATCCACAACTTTATCCATGAGAGCAATTAGCAATGGATAGCACTATTGACCAATGTATATAACAAATCAGCTCTCTATGAGAGACCCCACAGGTCACAGGTCAGTTGTCAGATCACCCTGGTTTTAGATTGTTGGCCAGACATCAAAAAAGACATAAAAAAACCAGAACAGTGCAGACCGGGGTGAAATGATCTGGATTAAAAGTGAAGGACTGTTGATCAGTGTGTTTTTACACGGTATCCAAGAACATCACAGAACAAGACATTTCATAAAAAGGGGCAAATGGAAAAAAATACAAAAAGAGCAACAATGGAGCACTCTAAAGATGCACTGGATTTTTCAATGAAACAAAGAAGGGGCAGATGGGAAGAGCAAAAATAACTAAAAAGAGCCTCAAAGACACTGTCAGGAAGATCAGCACAGGCCAAGTTCTAAAGCAACGAACATGTTGAGGAGGGTGGGTGCTGACTCTTGACTAGAAAGAACTTGGAGTACAAAACACAGTGTTCTTCTGTAAAAATACATATATTTTCTGAAGGCAAGACTTTTTTCTTGGTTTTCTAGAAAGAAGGAAGCTGAAAACACTAAAAGATTTTCCCCCAGGCAGGTCAGCACTTACAAACAGAACAGTATGTCCTGAGCCAGTTTCTGCAATGTACATTTAATTTACACTTTGCTTTTGAAGGAAGGCTCTCCATCAAAACTGACCTCCTGTTCAGTATCCTTGATTAGTACTTTTGAGTTCATTAAATCTGCCCTTGAATAGTATCTTCTAGTTATTAACTTCTATGGACAGTGTGATGATACTGGTAATTAGGAGCATTTCCTTTACCACATGAAACAGTAAAGTGTGAGATTCAAACCAGCATGGAACCATGACGCACTTTGACACATTTGCTTCCAACAAGTTTTAAATTACTGAAAGAGAAAGTTTCTAGTTTGTAATACAAAACCACACCACAAGTTAAACTATTGTTAAAGTTTGTTTAGGTTGGCAAACTTCTGTTTAAGCCAAACGGCTACAAAAAAGTCTTTACAAAAAGATGTTTGGGTCTAACTTCATTTAAATTAGTAGTAAAATTACCCATTTATCCACTTTAACTAACCTGGCTTCATACTAACTGAACTAAAGCTCCACTTTATGAACAAATCCTACAAGGAGTTACATGATCTTACTACAGTAGTATTTGCCTTCACTTACTGCTCATTAATGTCATCAGCTTTAGACATGGAAAATTTCTAGCAACTTACTTGGCTCTTGTTTTTTATAAAAACAGATTTAGAACAGCAGAATTGTGCCACTCAGCTGTTTCTTCCTTCTTTGCTGAAAATATGGCAGTGAAAATGAAAGCAACACGAGATTGGAAGCACCAGTGAACAGTGTGAGTGACACAGTTGAGTCTGGACATAGTTGTGGTAACAGGAAGAGAGAAGCACAGCATTCCATAAGCAGGAATTACGTGGTGTACTTTGCAGACTTAAGGCAGAGACACACACCCCCCAATACAGAATATTCACATGCAGTCTCTGTAACCAAGCCCACATCATTGTGGCTGCTCAGTGCCAAGCTCAAACACCCAACACCAAATCACCCCCAAGTTACCCACACAACCCCTTGTGCAATTCTCACACAACACACAAAGACCCTTCTCTCTCCTCAACCTCTCCAAGTTCTTCCTTATGGGACTGTTTTTCTCTCCCATCTGTGCCCTTTGCATTCTTACAAATTCACTGTTTTTCCACCGCATTACTAATACACAAAGAGATGAGGAACCTTCTTGAATCACAACCTGGTTCCCATGGTTTTAGTCAGAAAGGTCTTCAAAATACTACAGAAATTAAACTCTTCCCAGGGGTTTTTAGCAAAGAGCAGACAACGAATGAAATTACCAGGCAGTGGACCAACAACCAAACCTGAATACTTCAGACCTCCCAATATGGATTAAAATTAAATTCCTGCCTCTGTATAAAAGCAACTATATAAAAACTGAAGCCCAGTTAAAAGCACATGAAAGCAGCATATTGGAATCACTTAAATTAATAATAAATACTTCAGGGCCCTCTAGTGGTTTCCTCTCTGGTACAAGAAAATTCATGAAGAATGGTTTTTGAAATAAGGCTACAGAAGCGTACTGCAATATTATGTTTTACTTTTGACACTCTCCTGTAATTAAGAACATTTAGGCTGGAAAGCTGCCTAGTAAATTACCAGAAAGGCAAAAAAAATATACAAGCTAATATCCATTCACAGAATCAGCTAATGGGTAGCATTTTTGGTTCTTTGTAAAAATGAGAAGTTACTCACAAACATTTTGAACTGTGCACAACCAGGAGAAAAAAGATACAACCACTCTCCCAAACCTGCATCACAATGATTACTGAAATGTCAAGCTCTGAGCTAGCTCAAATCTGCATGGTTTAAAAAAAAAAGTGGAAAACTGATATTTTCTCACAAAAATTGCATCTGCAAGATTTCAGAAGCCTACACCACATGTTCAGAGGATTGCTTCATCCTTCATCTATCACCCTACCACTTATATCCTCTTCTGGCTTTACTACATGGTAAAACTGATACAGAAAACAGGTAACAAATTTCCTATTGAAACACACAAAGACAACTCAAAACGTAAGTAGATAATCAGTCACAACAGTCCCAAGTCTGTACCCAAGTTCAAGATAGTGTAATAGGAGAAACAGAATGAAATACCAGTTGCAAAGATTTTTTATACCTACCTACATTAATAGAAACAAAAAGAAAAAAAAAGAAAAAAAAAAGAAAAAAAAAAAAAGAAAAAAACTACGACAAATAGGAAAAAAAGCCACGTAACACCTTTTTCAGGTCCCAAAGGTAAGTGCATGAGCTTAAAAATTATTCCAACAGATCCTACAATCAGGAGTGTGGTAGCAAGACTATCTAAATGACCCCGTTTAGGCACATGAATCTTTCTCAAGCCAGAAAGAGAAGCCACAAATTTCAGTTTAAGTACAATTCAAGAATAAGAGGGAGTTGGGAGATTTTTAACCCAGCAGCAAACTACAGCTATTCTGAAATGGGCCTCTACAGAACTACACAGCCATACCTGCTTCTGGATCTAAACTCCATCAATAGCTGTGCTGTATCTAAAAAATATAAAGTAAAAAAGCCCCAAACAACAAAATCCCCACAGAACTTACCTCATAGAGGTTATACTGCTGATGAGCTTTTCAGATTGATCTGATAACCTGGATGGAAGAATTATTTCAACTGGCTGCAGGCGCAAAACTCGACTCTCCAATTCTGAGCGAGAAGCAGAGTCCCGAAAACAGTCAAAAATTACTTCTCCGGTAGTTGGTTGGATCGCCTGTCAAATAAAAAAAAATACATATATACCCACTGGATATTTTCATTTCAGGGAGTGCTTCAGTGACTTGAATTGTTAAACCCAGAACAAAAATCTCTGGTGTACAGCACAAAATTGTACAGCACCCACACACACAGTGAACACAGCAGATCAAAAAACATAATTGTGTTTTTATCAAATCTATAGTATGGTAATTACTTCAAAAGACTGTCATGACTTCATCTTGGTAAGTGGCAGCAACACCTTAAAAATATAAATGTGCTCTTGTTGTCATCAATCCCCCACTGTACAACTTCTCAAAGAATTCAACTCTATGTAATTGAAGTCTATGAAAGCTACATGTAATTCAGCCTGGAATCTAAATGTGCTTTTGTTGTTCTCTCACATCTGCAGTGTGACATTCAAACACAAGCACAATGAAGATGCTTTAAAATTAATTAGTTACCAGCTGACCAGTCTTCAGTTATCACCATGTTTTGCTGGTTAAACAATCTTGGAGTTAATTTTCACCATAAAAGAGAATACAAACCTGAAGTGTAAATGGTAAAATAACCCAAGTCTTTGCCTCTAAAGAAGAGTATTTTATAAAGGAAAAAAGTGCTCACAAGCTTTAAATACTGACTCAAAAAATGTTGAAAGATAGTAAAGCACCTGAACTAATGATTTCCCTGTATTTGGTTAAAATATGTTTTCAAGTGAAACAACAGCAAATACAGTTTCACAAATAATCATCTATCAACTCCTTTTCTGATGTAAAGCCACCACAGTTCACATGCAGATGAGATCCTACCTAAACTGCCCCTTTTTTGCAAAAAAATAGGAAAAATAATTTTAAAAAACCAATTCCCCACCCAAAATAAAACATACAAGACAGATCATGACTTTTAAAACATAATCACCCACCTTGCAAAACATCAACAAAACCACCCCCCATAAACCATAAAATACTGATTCCCCTGTGAAACCAACTTACCATAATGCCTATAACAATGTCACCTTTCTTCCTGCCCCTTAGGTTTTCCCCATTTTCACAGCAACAGAGGAGGTAGTTATCAGGGACATCTGTTGTTACCTCTTCGACATCTACAGAATCATCCAGCTTCAGCAAAGGGTTCACATGTAACAAGTGTTAAAAAAAAAATAGTACAGAGATTTGTGTGGATTGTTCACATGTTCCTTCTGGATCTAAGTCCTTCTCTATTCATAGGCTCTAATCTAAAAAATCTTTTTAGCTCCTGGTATCTGGTAAGTTAGTTCAAGAATTTTAAGGAAAAAAAAATGAGATAGGTAAGGCAGGAGACTGAAAAATGAAAAATGGAAGGGAAGAAACTAAAGTCACTGGTTAAAAGCTGTTTCTGTCTCATTTTTGCATTTTCTAGGCAGGACCTGCAGAACACTGCAGACTTGGGAAGTCCTCTCTCTGCCTTCAGAAAGCAACTACAGAAAACATAACCTCTGCTGTTTCACAACAAACCTACAGCCCTGAGGAGATTAAATTTTTTGAAAAGCCAGCCAGATGTTTTACCACAACACAAAATTAAAAGAATTTTGTTTCCTGCTGCCACTCACTACTCGTGTTCCATCCAGGTGATAAAACTGGAATCAAGGCCTCTCACACACAAGGGTTAGATCTGAAACCAAACTTGTTTGAAAAGGATATCTTCTCCAATAAGTGTGGACTTAGTGTAGAGGGCAGTCAGCTTACGGCTGAAGAGAGAGCTTTTGTTTTCTCCAGCAGCTTTCAGCGCTGCAGTTTCCATTTGTTTTATTACTCCAACCTACAGGCAGACAAACAAGAAACAAAGTTAGATCTCTGATAATAAGTTATTATTTTTACTGTTCCATATAATTGATGATATTTTTAGATGTGCAAAGAGCAAATGTATGATTCAAGCTCGAGTGCATCATCAGCAGAAAGGGCAGAGGCAAACATCAATCCTACTAATGAGAAAGGCACTCCTTTTCCTGACCCTTTGTCTACTCCTAACTGCCCTCTCAGCTTCTGCCCCTGCACTTCTTGTCCTGTTTTGAAACAGCTAAGCTACAGTTCACTGCTTATCAGAGAATGGTTGCTGCAATCAATTTAGATTCAGCATATGCTGTGATCCTGTAACGTTCTTTTCCTAAAACCAGAAAAAGAGGTATCAACAGAAAGCCGTAGAATTACAGGGATCAAGGAGAAGAAGGAAAAAAAATGGGCTGCAATAAGGAAAACAAACATGTGAGGAAAAATAAAAGAGAGAATACATAAATTTCTCTTTACCAGATGCAAAGACTTGATAGAAATACTGAGAGGAAAAATTGTTCCAGAACTGTTCCTGAAAACATGAAGATACTTTTCTGCAAAACAGAGGAAGCCTGCATCTACTTAAGGCTCATGACACCTCCCAGAACAGAGGAATTGAAACAAAGGACATTTTAATTGCAGAAGCAGGTGGTAATGAGCTACCCACTTCTCAGCTGAAACACGACCCTGGTTACAATAGGTACGAGCTATTTCAATGCTATTCTGTGCTCAACAGGATTTAATAAAGGTCAAAGATGACCTTGTGTCCCTTTGCCACGAGGCGCCGCACGTGGACAAACAGCCGGTGGCTTGGAATGCTGGCAGTCATAAAGTTGTGATCCAGGTGGCAATAGATGTTCAGTTCTCTAGCTGCAATCTGCAAAGTACAAGAAAAGTCAGCCAACAGGTTAGAAAGTAATTCAGGAGGGTAAGGAGCTTATCTCTATGACAACAGTGATGCACAGCTAAAATCTCAGTGTCAAAGGGAAACCATTCCAGAAGAAAGCCTGGAGGGACTGGGCCCCTCCACCTACCTGTCCTGGCATTACCACAAAGCAGGGGCTTCCCTATCACAGATTTCACCCGTCAGATTTTCAGGGTGCATTTTGATCTTCACCACTGTGAGGCAAACCACATATGCTGCACACACAGAGTCTGAAACACAGCTCAACAGATGGTCAGATAATTTTTGCACTCCTAAAACCAACAGGAATGGAGGTATTTAATTTGTGGTTAAAATTATGGGATTAAGCTGGCTAATCAATTAAAATACTGAAAAATCAATATCAAACAGCAGTAGAAACTGAATACTTAATAAAAACCAGTAAAAAAAACCTACTGAAATGTGACATTATCATGTGTGATTTGTATTTGACTTTCTGCCCTTTAGTTGTTCACTGACTAAACAATGTGTGTTAAGCAGGAACTGCAGCCAAACACTGACCTATCTCCCTGGACCACGTACTTCTATTTCTGGACTATGAGTACACCAGCAAATGAGTAGACAAATTATACAGCCCAAATTTCATGGGGAAAATTAATTCCCAGTAACTAAGCAACATTTCTCACTGGTCTTGAGTGTGGAAATAGTACCAATCAAAGTTTGGTAATAAAGACTTTGGGATACATCACACACACAAAAAAACCCACAACATTATGAACCATTAATGAACCATCACTTCAAAATTATGTATGTTATCAAGTCCTTTTCCATTCCTACAGATCTGGCATGTGTAGGTGTCACATTGGAACAAGCATTCAAGATACCCTCTGCATCCAGACTATACTTGCTATGTTCAGCTCTTTTACACCACTTGTTCTACTGTCTTCCAAACTGAAATACTCCTGGTAGAGTTTCAAGCCAATTCACCTCTGAGAGTTTTACAGCTTTAGCTCTGACAAGTAATTATTCTGGGAACTCACCTTAAATTCTCAGCATGCAAGACAGCAAGCACTACCATCCAATTACAAAATAATAAAGCCTATTTTGTCAAAAATAGTATACAGAGATTTTTTTCATCTTGATTTCAAGTATTAGAAGAACCCACAAAGAAGCCTCCCTTCTGGAAGTGGTCATAGACCAAGCAGGACCTCAGCACAATGCAACAATCTTTTCATAACCCTGGCAAATATTACCTCTGCATCTTCTCCAAAGAAGCGGTATTTGTATCCACATTCCACACACAAAACAGCATCTTTATACTGTTTCTTCATTTCTATGAACTGAAGTTCTAATGGAGTGTAAATGCTTTTGGTTCTTTTATTAAGATTTGTATCCAAAACATTCGGAGTATTTTCATGGGATTTAAGAGATGCAGAAAATTGACTCAGATCACATCGTACCTCCTCCTGTAAATAAAGGATGGAAAAGTATAGTTAAGAATCATCAAACAAATCAACTGCCCCCACACACCTTGGCTTGCATTGACCATAGAGCTAAAGACTCTTTTTGCGTTAAATAGCCCCAAGAGCGGCAGCGAAACTATTAAAGTAGGATATACAAAACACAGTTTATTTTGGCATTAAAAGGAATTAAAAAGTCATGAAAGTCACAGTTAGTTGACTTGCTTTACAACAATCCTTAGACACCTCAGGTGAAATCATAAGCCTATTGTATCATAAGTTCTCAAAACACAGATCAAGAGCCATGCAGGCTGCAAAGACCGGGCAGTCTAAACTGCCCCGATATTAAAATAACCACTTCAGTTTACAATAAGAAACTCCAATGTAGACAGATTAATGATGTTCCAAAAATCCAGAAATAAAACAATTTGAGTCTCAGTTCACTGTCTCAGCCACCAAAACTGTATTTATTCTCCAGTCTGCCCTTACTACATAAGTTCAAGAAACCTCCCAAAATAATTTATACACAAAAAATCTATACTACAATTTCTAAAATCCTTAACGTGTAAGACTTTGAGCAGCCCAGTCTCTCTGCGATTTACCATTCACAATGATATTATGCAGCCTATTTTTGCCAAGCAACTTCAGCTCTACAACTCTCCAGTGTTCTGTGTAGTCAGTAAGGTGGTGGGCTCAGTCTTTCATAAGCGCAGCGAATAACAATGATAAGGCATATTTCACTTACAGCAAAGTTCTTCTTCACTCAGATCACAATATCAAGTACCAATAACACTGGCTAAAAAAAAATACTACCTCAACACCCTCCACAGGTTTTTAAAGCCTATGATCATGCAAAACACAATTCATTAGGCTGTGCTGCAAAATTCTGTATCTGCAAATAAATAAATCCATTAGACTTCCATCTCTAGCAAGTGCCCCATCCCGATGAAAAGCAACCGAGTGAACAGACTGTTCTGCAGCCATGATAACTCAGAATAAACACCAAGATGGCTTAAATCATATACTCTGGGTCATAGGAATGTACAAAGAGTGCAGTCAGAGAACAATCAGGGAAAAAGAACATTTAACTCTAAGTTCTCACAACTGCACACCATCCAGCAAGACAGCATAGCCCAGGACAAACAAAGCTGCACCAGAACTCGGGTGGCCCAAGGAGCTCAGATGTCTCTACTGCAAAATCCTCAGCCCAAGCACTCAGCAGTCCTCAACCCAAGGTCTGTGCCAGCCCAGCAGGAAGACCTTGTCTCACGTCAGGGGAAATTGTAGTGACAACAACATGAAAAAAGGTCATGAAAGGAAGTAAAAGAGGTAAAAACAGAGAGAGAACTTGAATCATTGGGATGGTCGTAAGTTAGCAGCTTGAGGGATTTAGAGGAAAATCACTCACATAAAAAGGTTAAAACTGCAGGAAAAAAGCAAGATTCAAACATCTAAAACTAGTTGTTCTAAGAAGGCAGGCCAGCCCTGGAATCAGTTGTCTGTGTTCTCCAAGGGACCACACCTCAATCCCTTATCACAACAGAAATCTCTTGCCACAAGCTGTTCAGCATTTTGAACTCACACTGACACAAAGCAGACACCCCCAGTTTAAGTTCATGAGCTTCAGGCAGGGTTAAAGTAACTGTACAACCTTCTATACAACCTCCTTCCCTGAAAGAGTCAGATGTAAAACTTCACTAAAGAGCAGTTGCCACAATAAGCCAGGAGACACCTTTAAGGACCTGACACCTAAAACAATGAATTAATTGAAGTTAATTAGACCTATAATTCAAAAAGAGGCAAAGTACTATTACTCTGACAAAGTACTATTATCCCAGTCTTATTGACTTCTATCATACATATAATAATGATAATTTTTCATGCGAGCTGTCCATATCTTCTGCCGATGAAAAAGCAGTGGTATCTTTTGTAGTTAGATTTACCAGCTACTGGATTAAGCTACATCTCAGCAATACTACTAAATAATATTTATGTAAGGAAAGACTGGTAGAAATTTGACAGCCCACATCAAAATTGGTAGAATTGAAAGAAAGATGAACAAAGTACCACACTGAACATCTGTTATTACGATATTACAGCTTCACTCACAGTCACAAGACACACTGCCAGTGTTTCTGCTCTCATTACTGCTGTTTTTCAGTGGCATTACTGAAGAGCTAAAGACGCATCCTGTTCACTACGAGAAGAGCTTCAGGAAAGAAGGGTCTGTTGTGTCTGTTGGGTTCTGCTGCACTATTTCATGACAGAATACAAAAACACAAAGGGAAGCTTCTGGAAAAACTTGCTTTTTTAAACCACGACAAGCAATCTACACACCACAGCTCTGCATACCTTCTGAGCAACCTTTGGGTCAGTGTCCCGAGATGGAAGAGCGTTCTTCAATTCTGAACTTCTCCCAGTAATACTGGGACGTTTTTCCAAACTGTCAGACTTTTTCTCCTGAAAACCATCCTCCTGGACTCTGGTACACTGCTGGTCTGAATCACTGCAGAATTCTCTCAGTTTGTCTAGAGTTTGCAAACATATACGGGGCTTTTCATGCTTTTGAGGTTCTTCTTCAGTAAAAATACAAAACAAACACATTAGCAACTTATTTACTAAAGCAGAATGTCTATTAGAATAACATCAGTAAGCACAGGACACAATCATTTTGCTCCATCTCTCTCTCTACGTTCCTTCTCCTCTCCCATTGCAATAGTTCTGCCAGACTGACAGAGTCATGCATGGAACCAGCTTGATTAACTCCCTGGAAAATCAGTATTCCTCACTTGTGTGCTTGGTCATACATGGGAAAAGACGCACAACTATTTTATGGGCTGGTAACTACAAAGCCACTAATTTAGCCAAGAACATTGGAAATCAAGTAGAATTTTTGTTGGTACAGTTTTTAGCAGTATTGCTACTTGGTGGTGTCTTAGTAGTACTTCAAATCATTGCACTCACAAAACTGAATATAGTTCCCACTTCAAAACCTTAGGAGGCCAATTCTTTTAAATGAAGTGCAATGAACTTTACATATACCCATTTGTTTTTGTACCAGCATTATTTTATCAAACTCTTGGTTCAAAGCCAGATGGAAGTCAGGTATTTTCAAGGCAATGGAGTGGCTGCTGTTTCCCAGGTGAGAGAACTGCATTGGGACGATTTACTGTGGGGTAGCCTTTAGGTACACCAGTTACAGACCAGGCTCTACAGAGCTCTCAGGTGTCAGCTGCGCTTCAGAACAAGACTGTTAAACCAACACAGGAAGAAAAGTTGCACCATTTCTGCCTCAACATCTGGACTTCACTGACTGAACAACCTGTTAAAGTTGAGTCAGCTGAAGGGAATTTGCAGAATAATTCTGGAGCAAGGCTCAAATTTCTAGCTCCTGTGTCACAGTAACATTCTTGAACAGTCCAGGAGTATGCTCATTATGGCTCTTCAGAGTTGTATCTTACACTCAAGAGACACTTCCCAAAGTATCTGCCAAAACACTTTTTTCACATTTGACAATGAAAAACTGGCTGTCAGTGCTTGGAGGTTTGTTTACAGTCAACTCACTTTTATGCTGAGTCTTCAACGGGTTACAGATATCTTCTAGAGTGATTTGTGCCCTGGGCTTCTTTTCACAGGGTTCATTGCCTTCAGTTGATGTGCTCCTTTTTGTGCCACATTCAGAAGCCTGAAACGTAAATTACACACGGAAGTTCAGTTCCTTTTTCTCTCTGCCATCCTCTATGGAAGACAATAATGCAACCAAGCATTTCACAAAGAGATAATGCAAAATTATTGAATAACCCATCCCTGGAAGTGTCCAAGGTCAGGTTTGACAGGTCTTGGAGCAACCTGGTCCACTGGGAGGTGTCCCTGCCCATGATGGCGTATGGAAGGAGATGAGCTTTAAGGTCCATTCCAACCAAACCCTTCTGGGATTCTATGAAAATAATTTACCATATACAAAATCCCTAACTATTTTACGTATCTACATGTTTTGTTTATAAAACAGTTCTAGCACTTGAGGCTACAAGAGGAAGAGGAACAGTGCCTTCTGTGATCAGGTTGGCTGTTGTGCTATAAAAGAAACACCTGCAGCTATTGTGGCTTCCAAAGGCAGCCTAAAGCTACTTCTTTGGCAGAGAACTGAACCAGCATTTAACAGACTTTCCCACAACACCACAGCCACCACCTGTGCCTGAACCAGAGCTCTTCTGCAAATCCTCACTCCCACAGTCCAAAGCTCTCTCCTTGTCAGACACTGGCTGTTCAGCTCCAGGAGACATCATTCCCTACGGACTGAATCCCAGTGATGATGGGATCACCACCATCCTGCAAGTGTCAGTCCAGGTTTAAAAAGGTTTTCCTAAACTACCTGTAAGCACCTGGGTTTGTATCAAATATAGCACTTTAAACCACTGCTCCTTAGATGTCATGTGCACTTTGAACACTACGTAAACCAAAAATTCGTCAATTTATGCTGCTGTTTCATGACTGATCTATTGCTTAACAGCATGCAAGAAGTTTGACTAAATATAAAGAAGTAACTTACAGTTCCAACAACATATAAATACTTCAGAGATAAGCACACAGCAGATGCTTTCAGCAGCCTGCAGCCATATTTCATATGGTAATCTCAGACCGTTTAATTGGGGAATTTCAATTTCCTTACAACTAAGCAGGAGCTCCACCCCCACCAACTAAGTTCATAACCTCTACATAACTTATCCATATGTACAGCCCATACGAAAATCAAAGCTTCTGAACCCATTGTTAAATACCACCAAATTAACACAAATTAGGAAGCTTTCTCTGCAGGGGCAGAAGGCTGCAATCACACCTTTAAAAATGCATTTGGACCAAAGGTAACCAAAAAAGTTGCCTTGAGACACAGGTGGAAAAAGCAAATGACCATCCCAGGCTAGAAGGGGCTGGAAACTTTAACTACAGAGAGACCGGAAAACATAAACTCAGAATGAAGACCAGTTGCTAAGAAACAGCAATTTTTAACAAGTGGTGATAAAAAAGAGGCTGTTGGATCATTGTAGGCTCTTTTGGCCTTGCACCCAACAGCAAACACACCTGGAGTTGCCTGAGCTCCGTCACCTGGGCTATGAGCTCAGCCTGCTGCATGCCAGTTATCCACAAAATCTGATTTGTCATCTGGTGTGCAACAAGCCAATAATTACACACCTGAGAGACACTGAATATTTATTTCAGAACTCCACAGGCCATCGGTTCTCAGTGTGTTCCACACACACAACTGGACTTTCTGTGCCATCATTTATACACAGGAATCCAGAGTTAGTAACTTGCCAAGCACAGTCCCTCTATCAGGATTGATTAGTTATTTCCATACAAGTTACACAACCCAGCCAATTTCTACAGGTGCTCAGGGGAAGGGTCTGCACCCGGGCTGCTTGTTTTCTGATCTGTAGGTGTGGGGTTTAGTACTGTAATGAACACAGTTCAGCCACAGGATACACACACCTTGAGTATTTTGCCAATTAGCAATGTGTACACAGGCACACATCAACATCTTCATTTCTCCCTGAATGCTTGCTGGTTCTAGGGTGTGCTTCCCTAAGGAATGCAGCTGCTGCCTGTCCCACTGACCAGATCTCTTTCCTTGCTGATCAGGAAACAATACAAAGATCAAACATCAGAGAACATCCTGATTTAAGACAATCTCAACATATTCCACATTTTGCAACAGCATGAGGCACAACCTATGCCAGGGGTCCAACATGGCAGCAAAGTCCCAGTGACACGGATCAGCACCCTGGCCCTGCCCAGCTCACCAAACCTGTGCAGAGCTCCAGCTCCTGCAAAATGGGACATCCTGGATCATAGAATGGTTGGGGTAGGAAGGGACCTCTGGAGATCACCTAGCACAACCCCTGCCCACGCAGGGTCACCTGGAGCAGGTGACACAGGGATGTGTCCAGGTGGTTTTGGGGTGCCTCCAGACAAGGAGACTCCACACCCTCTCTGGGCAGCTGTTCCAGGCGCTGCCACCTCCATGGAAAGAAGTTCTGCCTCAGGTTGAGGGGGAACTTGTTGTGTTTGAGTTTATGGCCTTTGCTCCTTGTTCTGTCACTGGGCAGCACTGAACAATCTGGGACCATCCTCTGACATTCCTTGGGGATATCTGTGTGGATTGATGGGATGCCCTCTCAGCCTTCTCCTCTCCAGCCTAACCAGGCCCAGCTCCTGCAATCTCTGCTCATCAGGGAGATGCTCCAGACCCCTTATCATCTCTGTGGTCTCTGCTGGACCCTCTCCTTTCCCCTGTCTAAGGATGCCCTCAGGTGCCCCGTGTCACGCAGGTGCTGCGGTCGGTCCCTCGCCTGCGGCAGCCCTGTCCCGCCCGCCCGTCCCTCCCTCCCTGTCCTGTCCGGTCACCGTGCTCCGGTCGGAGCCGCGCTCGCCGCCGGTCCCCGCCGCGCCGAAGAACCTGCTGAGCACCAGCTGCCTCCCGGCCCCGCCGCGCTCCCGCCGCCGACCCCTCGGCACCATGGCCCAGCCGGGCCCGGCACCGCCTCCCGCCGGATGGGGCCGCTCCGCCCGCCCCCAGCCAGCCAGCCCGCCCCGGCGCTGCCCCGGTCGACCCTTACGGCGCGGCCATGGCGCGCTCGCTCAACTCCATCGTGGCCGTGAGCCAGAACATGGGCATCGGCAAGGACGGGCGGCTGCCCTGGCCGCCCCTCAGGTACGGCCGCTCCGCCGCCAGGCGGGAGGGAGGACGTGAGGACTGGCGAGCGGACTACAGCTCCCGGCGTGCTCCGCGCCACACCACCGCCACTGAGCGCTGCGGGGCCGCGCGGGGTGCGCCGGGAGTTGTAGTTGCTGGGGGCGATGCTCGGCGAGGCGGGAAAGCGACGGCAATGGCGGGATAACGATGTGAGGTGTTCGGGTGGTTGCACCCTCACGCCATGGCGTGGGTTGTCCCTCCTGAAACCGAGGACAAAGGTCCCGCCTCGGCCATGGCATCGGCCAGGCTCCGTCTAGCCGCTCCTTCCCGGGCTCCAGCAGCAACCGCTTTATGGTTGTTGTTTGTTTGTTTGTTTTTTAATTAGAGAAATTACAAAAAAATATTAGAAATTAGAGACCTCATTCTTAAACCACGATCTTCGTGTTTTCTCGCCAGGAATGAGTACAAGTACTTCCAGAGAATGACTAGCACCTCTCATGTGGAAGGTAATGTGGAGCTGTGTGTAGTGTCAGGCACGGAAAAACGAGGATTTTACGTTTCCCAGGATTACCAGCCTTATTTCTGTACACACCCTGCCCTCCCAAGCCTTCCCTGTACTTCACCCCTTGGGAAATCGTTCGAGACAGATGAAGAAATGCAGTGATTCAGATGTTTTGAGGGTGCAGGTGATCTTCTAATAAAAAGGATTCCCAAGTCCTGTTTACCCAAGAGTAGAAAACTTAACCTGAAGTTTACCTAAAACATCTTTCCCCGAAACTCCATGTTAAAAATGGAAAGGTTTTCACATGCTGATTAACTAGCAGAGATGGTTTGTTTTGTTCAGGCTGTTTTAGCTTATCTAACTTGTTTGCTGTAGCTCAGCCTTGGTCATTTGTTCCAAGCTTCTGACCTTTCTGACCGTAGTTTTGCTTGGTTTTCTGAGTGCTGAGCCATCCCCATATGCCAGAAAACCTTAACCCTCCTGATAATACACAGCAGCAATACTGCAAACATTTCCCACCGTGGTCACTCTTTTCCTATGTTTTTTTTTTTTTTTTCATGCTCCTGGTCAGCCTAATGTGTTCCCTTGTTTTGATTAGGTGACCTATGCCATTTTCTGATGTAAAGGTCTGTTCCATAATCCACAAGGAATGTCTAATCTCACTTTTCAACAGTGTTAAGGGAGGATTTTATTTGTGTTTTGGAGACCTCAGTCATCCCATTGCAACTTTAAATGTACAAAAAAAAAAAAAAAAAAAGGACACAATTGTAAGTCTTTTTAGATGTCTGTAAGTTGAATCTTACCTGGTACAAATAACCTGTGATCAAAAAAAAATGTTTAAAATACAATGAAAAAGAAAAATTTTTCACCATCTTGCCTGCAGATCATTTGATAAGCTGTGACCTTAGATGTTAGGCAGGTAAATTGCTTCATAACCAGACTTCTTAATGGATTATGCTGCCATAAATCTTCATAGCAGGGATGTCACCATTGACTCTCTTGACTCTCAACCTCTGTGTTTATTTTTCTGACAACTCCATTTCCTCATAAAGAGAAACCTTTCTCTTCTTAGGAATGTGTATATAAGAAAATAATCTTATAAAAAGAGATGTGTACATGAGGTTATGAATGCTTGGGTTTATTCAGAAATTATATTTATGGGTGAATTTTTGGAATATGATTGAACACCTGATGTACTTCAGCTTTAGATTTAATTTTGCTGGTTCTTCTAAAAAATATTATGAGTTTGGGTCTGCATGAGACTTCTTTGGTGTCAGCTGACTGGCTATGCTTTGAGGCCACAGACGTGTGACTGGTTAGTGAACCAGGGCCTAAGTTTGTGCTTTTGTTAAACTGCTGTTGTGGAGTTTGAAAGGGGAAGTCCAGCATTGTCATTAAACAGTAAATTTAAGTAAATGTTTCCTCTCATACTCAGGTAAACAGAATGCATTGATAATGGGTAAAAAGACCTGGTTCTCTATTCCTGAGAAGAACCGTCCTTTAAAAGACAGAATTAATATTGTGCTCAGCAGGGAGCTCAAGTAAGTATGAGAATATAACAAGTAAAAGTTCTGCACCTAAAATTACCTGTAGCAAATCAACATACAGTAATTCCAAATGTATCATTTCTGGTATTTGGTTAGAAAGAATTTCTGCTCTTGGTTCTGAATGTTATAACTACTTTACCTCTATTTTTTTTTAATTAATTTACAAGTAATTGTCATTTTTTTGCATTGTAAGTACAACTTCTAGCTCTACTCACAGACCATCTGACAATTGTCAATAGTTTTTCCGACTCATGTATTCAACTGCATTTCTCTAGTTCCTGCTTGGATTGGTGACTCTTAGTCCTTTTTTTTGATCTTATTTTTATTAGGATTCTGGATTAACTGCCCTTTTTCAGGGTTCATCTTGAACCCATCACCCACAGTCACGCAAATATTATTAAACAAAACTGTCCACTTAGAGTGGTTTATTGTTTTGGATGATGTTGGTAGGTTTGCTGATCATGTGGGTGGGCAGTGGGTAGGCAGAGGGGCTTTTCAACTATTTTTATTGAATGAAATATTAATGTTTTGGAATTCAGGTAAAAATCAGTAATTTCTATATTATCTGTATTTAATTTATAGATTATTTATATTACAGATATGTAAATTTCTCCGTTATGCTTTTTCAAAAACGTGTTATAAAATTTCAGATCTATAATTTATAATGCCACTTAAGTTACGATGAAGATGAGATCTGATAAACAAGCCTGCAGATGAGAATTCTAACGTAGATTTGCAATAAGAGGCATTTCAAAACAATTACATTTAGTTATTTGTGAATTCAGCAAAACGCATTGTGTGTCTAGGTTGTATTGATGATCATGATAAATTGCCTTCTATGTATTTAATGATAAAACTTTGCCTTTTTCTAGGGAAGCCCCAAAAGGAGCACATTATCTTTCCAAAAGTCTGGATGATGCTTTAGCTCTTTTGGATTCACCAGAGCTAAAAAGTAAAGTAGACATGGTTTGGATCGTTGGAGGCACTTCAGTTTACAAGGTACATTCGGCCTACTCCTGAATTATTCGTTCTCTCTGATGGGATGAGGATGGCTCAAGTCCCTGTTAGTTCTGCATTAGGAAGTCCAAACTGCAGTGATTCTAACAAAGCAAGTCTTGGAAAGTGAGATTTCAGCTCTCAAATTTAAAATGGCTGCCCAAGTAACCAAATGTTGGTCTTGCCAATGGGCCACTGCCATACAGTTGCTGTGCTTTTGAGAGCTTTACTTTAAATATCTAAATTGCTCGTTTTTTCAGCCCAAACCCCGATTGCCATGCTTATTTTACTGAGGTTGCTGACTGACTCTGCAAACGGTATGAAAAAAATAGTCCAGCATTTTTAGGCAGAGTGTGACCCTTTTTGCATGTATACAGGTGAGAAAATAGAGTTTAGAGAGAGCTGCCAGGTGATGGTGTCAGCAATGAGAGGAGATAATCATACGACAAGAGGTTGTACTCTCTCTACTTTCCCATCCAACAACCAGATGTCCTTACTGCTCCCAGTCTCTGGATTCTTAATTGAATTGTTAAGAACTGTAAAGCGATTATTTTTTTAATGGTGAAGGAAACATTTCTACTGTCCTTTACTGTCCACTTGTTATTTGGCATTTGGACTTTAGGTGTGTGATGGCAGTGCTGTCATGCTCCTAGTAGCAAATTGGGGCTGATACTATACCTTGTATGGAGTGGGAAAATATATTTTCTGGTATTTCTTGCCTTTGCAGTTTATGCCTTTCAGCAGCCTCTTCTCTGTGTCTTGGGAATGCATCTTTTACAGTAAAAAACCCGAAGGATTTAGATATTGCTAAGGCTGTAAGAAAAATGAAGTGTATGCACAAATAGCCTGTAAAACACTGTTGTTTCTTTACCCCTTTTTTTAAATTTCTGTTTTATAATAATTTCTGAGTGTGGTGAAGTGTATATCATGTATTTGATATTGCAAATGCATTCAGTCTATAATCAGGTATTATCCTATAGGAGTAATCTGTCCTTCACTCTCAGTCTGCTTCCAGGCAGGGAATTTGTGGGGACAGCTTCTCTTCACAGTGGGCACAGCTGCCCAGCAAGAGGCCCTGCCACTAGTTCTGCAGCATGCAGGTGTGAGCAGAACCATTTACCCCTTCCCTGCAACAGCCACAGGCTCATCTAGTGCTGTAGAGAGTGATTAGTTTTGCTTCTCCTTCCAGGAGCACCTATCTTGTAGACTCATATTTTAACTATTTTTCCAGTGTCTGACTAATATTTGGTAGAGAATAATCTCATTTTTTAGACTATTACTCACCAATACTTACATTATAAATTGGAAGCCTTGACCAAGAGTAACTTGGAATATACTATTTGTGCTGATCAGTGTAAGGGAATATGTCTTAGGGTAATAGGACCCCTGTTTACCCTGGACATGGAGAAGCACTAAGAGAACTGAGAGTGTTCAACCTGGAGAAGAGAAGGCTCTGGGGAGACCTCAGAGCCCCTTCGAGTGTCTAAAGGGGCTCCAGGAGAGCTGGAGAAGGACACTGGACAAGGGCCTGGAGTAACAAGACAAGGAGGAATGGCTTCCCACTGCTGGAGGGCAACATTAGATGGGATATTGGGAAAGAATTGTTCCCTGTGAAGGTGGTGTGGCCCTGGCACAGATTACCCAGAGAAGCTGTGGCTACCCCATCCCTGGAAGTGTTCAAGGCCAGGTTATATGGGGCTTGGAGCAACCTGGGATAGAGGAAGGTGTCCCTGCCCATGGCAGGGGGTGGAACTGGATGGGCTTTAAGGTCCTTTCCAACCCAAACCAGGCTTGGATTCTAAAATTTCAGCTGTTTTCCCTCTTGCAAGCATCTGCTCAGGACATTTCAAAGGAAATTTTAATTCATTAGAGAGAAATCTTAACAGTTTTATACAGATTCCTACATTCAAACTGGGCTTATGATCTTAACTAAAAGAGTTTGATGGAAAACACACACCTCTACCAAAACTGCAGGTCATATTTACAGTGTCTGTATTGAAGATGCACAAGGGGTTTCACAAGAGTATTTCCATTATACCATGTACAGATGTGTGGGAAGTAAAACAACAATTGGTAATTGAAGTGAATAATTTTATTTAGTAGTTACAGGTATTTGGGCTTAAAGCATTATTTTGTTCTTACCACTTTGTGTGACTCAAAGGTTTAGAACTGATTATGTTTATTACTATGAGCCTGTATTTGTCCGTATAAAGGGCTACCCCACTTTGGTTATTCAAGCTATTATAGGACTTTCTTACAGGAAAATATCATTTCTGCTGTCAAACAGGAAGGATGTTCACATGGGAGCTTCTTGCTGCTCTTTTAGGTCAAGGGAAGGACGTGCAGGTGGTACAGTCACTGGTTCCAAGGGGAAGGGGCCTCCAGGCTCCTCTGTTACAGTTCTTTGTCTAATCCTATGGGCAAGGAATATGCAAAGCACATGCCTGGCATGTTCAGGATAGTTGTTCTGTGGATTGCTAACTCCTTAATGCACAGAGATCTTTCAGCTGAGTTCACTACAAAAGGAACACCCCTGGCACTTAACTTTGGGGTAGGCTGCTTTGGCAGCCTGTCATGGGCTGTTGTGGACATTAGAGGATGAGTAGGAACATATTCTTGGGGTCCTCACTGGGGATGCTCTGCCCTGGTTGGTCTATGGTCCTTGGCACAGTGAGCTTAGCCTGGTGACATCCCACTGGTGTGGGATTCTGGGGAATGAGAATTAGATGCAGAACATACTGTATGTGATGGTGCACAACAGCAGCAGCAGTTTTGCCATTGCCAGACAAGAGGGTGGCTTATTGCGCTGTGGAACCTTTTAACATAGCTCCCAGCCTTAGCACCTTCTGATCAGTTTGGCTTGGGGAGGTCCCCTGTGGCCAGGGCTGTTGTTCCCCAGCTCCCAGGAGCAATCCTGCAGGCCTTGTTGCTGTAGATGGTGTGAGCAGGGAGCATGAACATGATCTTCCAGGCCTTTGCTGCCTTTGTTTTCCCACACCCTTCGTGCGTGTCATTCACGATGTCTGAGCACCTGACTCACCTGAAACAGTGCATCCCCTCTGTGCCTCATGTCAGCCCAGACACCTTCACACTGAAACACTAATCTGACCTGCCCTCACCCAGGGAGTTGTGCCACATCAGCACCTGCCCAACTGCAGGGTGAGGGCAGGACTGATGCCTCCAGGGAAGCTTTTGGACTACTCACAGTGCAGGTTTACAAGCTTAATTTCTTTGGATCTTAGCATGGTGACATACTCTGTGGATCCTCTGCACTGCTGGGGATCTCCTGAGTTCCAGAAGGAGTTGGGGGTGTTGTTGGTTGTGTGGGTGAGGAAGGAGGAGCGGAACAGCCCAGCAATGGTCAGTAGGTTACAGCAATTACGAAGCTGTTCTGTGTAATGACAGGTACTCCATGATTTTGTGCAAGCACTTCATGTTTAAGGGCTGTCTGCTGACCTGTGAGTGCTTCTTGTGTGCTGGAAGTGGCTCACTCATAGGTTCTGGCCCTGGAGTCCCTGGTAGCTGTTAGAGCTCATCAGACATATCCCTGGAGCACATTTCCTCGCTTGGTTTCACCCTCAAGAAATTTAGTTTGTGGGTGTCAAAACTGCTCCCAAGTACAACTCAAGCTTGATGAGTGGGAGCAATTGAAAGATTCAGTAACAGTTGGACTCAATGGTCTTGGAGGTCTTTTCCAACCTCTGTGATTCTACGGTTCTGTGATTTCAAATCTACGTTTCTCTTCAGAGTTCAGACACTGATGCTCTCTGAGTGGAGGTATTGTCTCCTAACTGAGAGGTTCAGGTCTTGGTTTTGACTCTGAAAAACAATGCTACCTGGACATCTTAAGGGAGTCACAGAATCATAGGGTGGTTTGGGTTGGAAGGGACTTTACAGACCATCTCATTCCAGACCTTCTGCCATGGGCAGGGACACCTTCCGCTAGACCAGGTTGCTCAGAGACTGCTCAGTGTAAATTGTATCAGTTGTATCAGTTTAGATTTAAACTATGTGGTTAGACTGGTTAGAAACAGCACTCAGGCTTTACTAGGCTGTTCCTAGGAATAGGATCTATGAGTCCAGCACATCGCCACATATGAAATAGGATCTTCTTAAAAAAAAAAATTAACAACACACACAGGTATTAATTTACTTACGTGGATGGTATGGTCTTGTGACATGTTGTTTGTAGAATGAGTATGTCAGCATTCCATCAGCTCAGCACTATTCCTCCTCTAACTTCTCTTCAGTCCCAAAAAAAGGAATGGATAGAACGGGCTGGCCAGGGCGAGAGTGAATTGAATGTCGCCAAGGAACCACTTTAATCCCCGTGGAAATGAGAGAGTTATGATAGAGCTCCTTTGCCATCCTGCCAGGTCCATGGCAGTAGTTGGCAGAGGCAGTGTCAAGAGTCCAGTTGTCACCAAACAGGCTCATGTAGAGGTTCCACACATGTAAGGTTTCCTGTTTGATCAAAAATTTACTTCTCTGAAGATAATGTGAGAGAACATGGAGGATTAGGTGCTCCCAAAGAGTCATGAGCTGGAACCCAGGAGCAGTAACTGGGATGACAGGGGCCACATCAGCTAGGGCTGGAGGTGGTGAGGCAGGTCCACGGAACAGGATCAGGCCCCATGGAGGTAACCTTGAGAGTCAGGCACAGCCCTGGAGTGACCAGACAGGGCCATGGGCACAGGCCAAGGCCAGATCAGAATGTCAGCCTGTGACATGATTCAACAACTTATTTAAATCCCAATACAGGGAAAATTGCACTTATCAAAATAAAACAAGTGAAATGGAAAGTGGAGTCACTTTACAATGTGTTTCTCCTTGCCCACTGCACTCTCTCTGCCATGGCACTGGGCATTCCCAACTGCTGAGGAGAAACATATGGGTTACAACCACCTCAAGTCTGTTGCTTTTCCCCCAAGTTCTTCTCTGTTTGTTGTTTACCATTCATGGGCCACCTCCACACACAGACTCCAGACCTGGTCTGGTAACTGAGGAAGCATTTGCACTTCTTTTATTAATAAGGGGTTACACAGCTGTTTGGTTCACTCATCTAATGAAACCATTTATCTAGAACAGAGGTCATCATCTGGTCCCTTTGGACTAAATTCAGCTCTCTTTCCAACATCTGTGGTCAGTGTGCTCTTCCCTGGCCTGTCCTGGTGGTAGAGAGTTCTTACTGAAGCTGAATTTCCAGAGCTAGATAGGACATAATTTTGTTCTTCTACTACAAAACAGAAGTATCTCCATTTGCAAAAAACAGTATGTTTTTATTTGTGAAGCAGATTATTATTCTCCTCTCATTTTGCAGGTGTATGTTTCTCTTCTTACCTGCCACACTTACTTAACCAAATAAAAATACTGGTATTTATGTAGAAACTGGACGAATACTAGTTCAGTGGTCTTGGATGCTAGTGTGCTGTGAGTTACCCCTTCCATTTTTACCTGTTGTATAGTAATTGGGCAGCTTTTCTAGAAATTAACCTCTCAGCAGTGGCAACAATTACTTTTATTGGTTTCCAGTTTTATGGCTTGGTTCCTGTACTTGTTGAAGTAGTACCTAATAGCCTGCTGCATGGTGAGTCACCTTCCACAAAGAACATTGTGCATTGCCAGTTTAAGGGAAAGGGAGGAATGGTTGCAAGCTTTTCCAAAATATATTGTAACCATCGGCACCAATGTAGCTTTTGATAGGTTATTTTAATGCCACAAAGTCTGGGAGAAGCTTCTTTCCAGCCTGATCTGGAGACAAAATATCTCAAACTTTTAATTCTTGAAGTTGTTAGTGACACCTAACAAGTGTCATTTTAACCTTTTTCATCCAAGGATCTTGGAAACATTGTTAAAAACTTTCAATGCATTTTATCACTTTGCCACAATCCTGAGATAAAACTTTGAAGTTACGCTGATAGGCAGTTGGATCTTTGGAACTGCAAACTAATGCAGACTAAAAATACACTGCAAATCCTTAGTGTTGATATTAATTAATCATCAGAACAAACAACCTTGAGGTGAGGGCATCTCCCACCAGCTAAACCTTCGTGTTTCTCAAAGAGGTGTGATTCAGAAATTGCTTGTTGCAACTAGGCCACACTGTTCCTTTCTCCTCACAGGGCTATTCAAATTTTTTTTCTTAATTTCTATCAGATAAACCAAACTCTGAGAATAAGTATTACTGCCAGTTACCAGGTGGAACTGACACAAGGTGAAATTAGCCCTTTAGAAAGTGCTCTTGAGCAGAGTCTAAAAGAGGAGATTTAGAGTGTAATTTTCCCTGCTTTGCTAAAATCCTGTGGTACATAAAACAGTGACTGAGTTTCTATTGTTTTTAAAGGCAGCAATGGAGAAACCGATTCATCATCGATTGTTTGTGACAAGAATCTTGAAGGAATTTGAAAGTGACACATTTTTTCCAGAAATTAACTATAAAGACTACAGACTTCTCACAGAGTAAGTATCAAATTGCATACGAGGCTTGTCTTCAGATTAACCTAGTTTGAATGTAAGGGTCCTATTAAGGCCATTTTGGTTTGAGTTAGAAGTGATTTTTTTCCCCTGAATCATACTTTACTTACAAGCTGGAGTTGCACCATGCTCTGCACAGAGGTTCTTGAAACTCACTGTGTTGTTCAGCCTTTCCATGATCTTTACAGTAAAGAATTGCACATGTCATTTTGCTTCAAAAGTAGCTTTCTTGCTGTTTCTTGGTTTAGAATTACTCAAATATTTACTAAGCTTTGTAACTCTCTGTGTGTTTTGAGTAAATAATATTTGGCCTCTGAAAGTCTTTGATAAATTGCCAAAGACAAATTAAATGGTTTGGAGGGTTGAGCTTTAGAGATTTCTAAGGTGATTCCTTTTCTCTTGACAAAATTACTTATTCCTAACAAACATAGTAGGGAAGGGCATCAAACTGTGAGTTTGTGCCATTCATTGTGGTTTCTTCTATATTATCGTTGTCATATCCAGTCATGCTTTTATGTCCTCTCCAACAAGACTACATCCAACAGGCAATAAGAAGGCAGCAAAAATTCAGATGCCTGCCTCAAGAGCCAGGAAGGACAGGACCTGTTCCTCCTGCTGTGGTTTTGGCTCCCAGCTGGTTACAGACCAGCAGTGGAAGAAATATGAAGTGTGGGAAATTAAGGTCTCTTCAGGGAGCACAGGAATGAATTAGCACAGCACTGGGGAAGCTAGGGAAGAGGGATGCAGGAGAGACAAACAAGGTGGTGGGTGAGGAGGATGAGTCACCACCTCCAACTCCAACATACACTGAGCTGCTCTGCATTCACTTCAGTGTCCTGAGGTCTGACCCAAAGCTCCCTCTCTCCATCGTGGCAGCTCCTCGGGTGTACAATGGTTTTGACCAGTGAACTGAAATCAAAGTTTGGCCTTGGAACATGAATTTATAAAGTCTGAGGCAATCTCCTCACTGAAGTGGAAATCTGACACCATCACACTTAGCAAAAAAACTTAAAATGTACTTCTCCCTCAAAGTCAGTATTACTCATACAAAATTCTTGTTCTGTCACAGGGAGATGAAAAGATTTTTGAAAGTGTCTATTAATAAAAACTGGTTTAGAAAATCTGGTATATAGAGGAACTCTTTCTGTGGTAGCAGTCAGCTGCTTTGAGAATGCAGACTTTTAAGAAACCTTGTCCATAACATTTCTTCTAGACCATCTGAAGAAAAGCAAAGTGAAAAAAAGCCCCAAAGTGTTTTGTACTTTGGCAGACGTTTTGAATAACATGTTGGAGGCTTTAATAAAAATGTTGGGAATTTTTTGATTAAGCCGAAAATGGGGGGATTGTTTTGCATCAGAGTATGCTTTCTTAGTATATAAGATGTGTGTACAAGTTGCAGATAATATTAATATGATTCCTAAAAACAGTTTTTATGTAGTATACCTGTTCTAAGGACAGTATTTTCACTTCCCTTTCCAAACAACTCACTTTTCTAGTTGACTGGATAAATTACAGGTGAATCATCATGGCATTTTTATCTACTTTTTGGCTTTTGCTTTTTCCTCTCCTCTCTCCCCAGGTACCCAGGTGTCCCTGCTGATATCCAAGAAGAGAATGGGATCCAGTACAAATTTGAAGTGTATGAAAAAGCTGTTGTGCCTCAGTAAATGAGACATTCTGTACTTCTGTGTAAGGATAGGCATTTTAAATCCAGAAGTCTTACTGAATGTAAATATACATTAAATTTTTGAGAGCAAATCATATTGGATAGTACAACAGTTCAGTGGTGAATGATTCCAAAAAACACCCCCCACACTCTGTAAACCCTGCACTGGAAATACAAGGGTGGTCTGCAGCGTGAAGAGGTAGGTCTGAGCAATTCCATAACAAAGGTTGCGTGAGACCTTGCACTGATCTGACAATCCTTGGCAGCATCCCTGACACTTCCCTAATGAAAGGCATTAGACTATGTCAGAGCATTTCTACTGAAACCAAGGTTTTGGGTATCTCGTGGTTCAAAACGTCCAATAAATCCTCCGGAGTTTGGCTGGGGTGTTGTGTACCTTTATAGCACTCTTTGAAGTGTGTTGTTATAGAGGAAAAGGTAAGCAAGCCCAACAGGAGAAAGGGGATGTGGAAGTCTCAGGCAGCAGTTAAGGGATGCACTGATCCTTCCTACCACTCCAGCGTGTGTCACCACAGGGTCCCCAGTTCTGCCACCAAACCTACTGCAGTACGGGCTCCTCTCTCCATGGGGCCACAGGTCCTGCCAGGAACCTGCTCCAGCAGGGCTTCCCTCAGGATCAGAACTTCCTTCAGGAATCCCCTGCTCCAGTGTGGGGTCCTCCAGGGCTGCAGGAGGGTCTCAGCACCCCCACGGACCCCCAGGGGCTATAGGGGCACAGCTGCAGGGGAACCTCTGCTCCGGCTCCTGGAGCACCTCCTGCCCCTCCTGCTGCACTGACCTAGGGCTCTGCAAGGCTACTCACTCCTCTGTCACATTCTCACTCCTCTTGCGACTGCTGTTGTTCCCCACAGGCTTTTCCCTACCTTCTTAACTTACCCCAGAGGTGCTGCTCCCATGGCTTATGGGCTCAGCCTTGGCCAGTCGTGGGGCTGCCTCAGAGCCGGTTGTACGAGAGCGAAGCTTCCAGCAGCTCCTGGCAGAAGCCACCCCTGCAGCCCCTTGGGACCAAAACCTGGCCACACAAACCCAGTACAGTCTGATAAAGAGGTTTTAGTGTCCCTCACTTCACACCTGTGAGGAGGCTTTGCTGCTCTCATAAAAAGTTGCCGTGCCTCTTTGTCCACCACCACCTCACAGTGCAAGAACATACACATTGATTCCTTAAACAGTCTGTGTTCCTACGTCCCTGCCAGTTGTTACCAGTAAAGATGCAGTTAATTCGTCACTGTGTTTTTGAACACTCTATCTGACAAATGCAGATTATAAACAGGTAGTCAAGTCCGGTTTCATCTTCATTAAACACAGCCAGTATAATAATTTGTGCTGCTGTTCCTTTAGAATATCAGCTATGAGCACCCCCTGAATTTTTCACAGCAATTTATAACAGCTGATAAAAAAGATAATTTTTGCAGCATCTGCTCTGGGTTGTCTCAGTTTTCTCTGTTTCCTTTGAAACTGTAAGTACTTACCATCATTGATCTTCTTGTTCCATGTGTGCTGATATTATATCAATCGATAAAAGCAAGTTTATGCTTGCATAATGCGGGAAGAAGTCTCCTGAGTTTTAAATTGACAGCACATTGTTGAAGGGGAGGAAAGAGACTGTTACCAGGGAGATGTCATGTTTTTTTTTTTTTAAATATAAGTCATTGTGACCCTGGCAAGAGAATAACTTCCTGAAAGCATTTTAAATGTACCAGTTATAGGTCAGTGTTGAAAGCTCTGCATAAACACTTTGCAAAGTACTGTGTTTAGGACAACTGACATTTATTAGAAATGGAAGAAAAGACTTCATACAATGTTGTATTACACTGTGATGCTGAGACCAACATCCATTAGGAAATTTCTGCCTAAGCATACATTGCAGGAGATACGGTTCATTTTGTAGAATGATTTTGATTGCAAAGAACTTAACCTGGATGCAAAAACAAGCACATAAGTGGTTACTCTTGACCGTTTGTGGACTGACTTAGTCCTCTCCACATTTAACTATGTTCTTTTGTCAAATTCAACAACAAATTAAGTTAATTTGTGATTCGTGGAAATGTGAACTTTTGAGTTTCCTACTTCAGTATGTCTCTCTCTACCAAAGAGATGCGTTTTTGTTTGGTTTGGTTTTTAGTAGAAGCACTGCATATTGACAGCACTTTTTGTACCACAGCTTCTCAATACACAGATCCCAGCTGAGAACTAGGAAAATGCATTTGACTACAGTGAAGTTCGGTCCAAAATAAGTGTATTCACCCCACTGACAGACACAGTGACCACTACAAGTTGAGATGCTGATGTTTCAAGACGGACAGAGGCAGAAAGGTGTGAGTCTGCATGCTCAGAAAGCACATACATTCTGTTTGCTGTCAGGAATTTATTTGCTGAGGATAGTTACCTGGCAGCTCCTACATCCCCATTTATATTTTCTAAGAGAAAAATAGATATTTTATACTCTGGCTTGAGGCAGAAAAAAATCCTTGGTTCCAAATACAACTTCACCATGTTTTGTTTATCCCTGTACTTCATTGATGAATGATTCCTTGAAAAGCCATAGATTCTCATTATGTCTAGTACAGGGGGAAATGTCATGTTTTTCCCCAGTTCCATGCAGCTAAGTGCAATGAATAGCATCATGAGTGACAGTATAATTACCAATCACCAAGAAAAGTCTAGTACAGGTATAATTTAATCCCCTTCATTCATGCTTTCTCGGGAGCAAACTGTTCTAAACAGATTAAAATTTTGATTTTCAAGAATAATACTAGTTTTAACAAGATAGCTGAAACCAGAGGGTCTTCATAAAATGTGGAAAACAAACCATAAATGTTTTTATTGCTTGTCTGTTACTCATTATCTCTTATCTGACAGCGGGTAGTGACTTCCATCTGGCAGTAGAAAGCTGATGTTTTTAGTAGTTTTACAGCCACAGTGTATTCAAGGTCAGAACTGGGAACATTCCAACAACAAATCTCTACCATGGACAGCAATCCATAGAAAAGAAAGGTACACTCTGAAAAATAAGTTTCCTAATTTAGCAAACAGAATACTGTTAGTATCTATGCAGAAGACCAGGGGAAAAACAGGAAGGGGAAAATTACAATGGTTATCTTATTCAGGTTATCTGATGAGAGCACCAAGAGCTCTTGACATGAGACCTTAATGGGGAACAGCCAATCATGTTGTCTTCATCAGACTACAGCTAATTTCCTGAGGACTTAAACCCAAACTAATCCTGGTTGATTTAAAAGTTGTACTAAGAGAAGGAGACAGGAGCAGAAACAGGCAACAGCTGATTTGGAAAGGGGAGAAGCTGAGGAGTGGATTGTATGTTAATCAGGGCAGAAAATGAGGTGACAAATTAGGTGAAAAAGCTTGGTTAAGTACAGAATTAGGAGATGGTTCCCTCGTTATTCAGGTGTTCATTAGCTGTCACTGCTTGCCCAGGAGGGCTGCAGGAATGAAGCCGACAAAGTCAGGGTAGGCTGACCAGAAAATCTGAAGAGGCAGATCCTGAAGCAGAAGAGCGGAAACAGGAAAAGAGCTGAAAAGAGGAAATTGATGTTTCCTAGAAGGATTACATGGCTTATCGTGTTAGTTTGCCCTGCAGCTATAATTACTAAGGATACTTTCAGAATGCTGCAGGGTTTAGCACCAGCAGGAATGCAGTGACAAAGAAATTTGTTAGTGAAGGACTTCCAGGATTTGGGTGTTTATGTGACTGCCTATGTCAGCTGTACAGAAATCTTTAGCTAGAATTGCTATCCTGAAGTGCCTGCACTTCATCCCAGAGCCAGAGCCCCATTCCAGATCATCCAATGCCCGAGGCTCTCCTGCTTTCCTCGGTGGACACAGTGCGGTGTGGGTAAACCTGCTTGGTCCTGTGTCTTCAGTTGTGAGGACATGTTTCCTGCTGGCTCTGGGGTGATCCTGGGTGATTCTGTCCTCTGTTCTCTGCAGATCATTCTGTCTCCTTTCACATAACATCAAAGCAAAATCCATACAAGAAGCCTTTTGTTAGATTAATTGACATGGTTGGAAAAAGAATAGACAAGCTCTCAGGCAGAGTACTGTTCTAGTTACATTTTCAGGACTTTTTTCAAGTGACTTGGACAAGAGCTTACTTTGCAAAACTTGCCTATTCATCTGCAATTAAATTGGGTGGGTTAAAGTAGGTTATCTTTTCTTATAAGTCTAGTTTTGCTCTTTTTATCATTTAATGGTCTTGGCTATAGCATTGGTGTATCACCTCCAGTCCTCAAGCTGTGGTCCTCTCCATTCTGTCCCTCATCTCTTCAGCTGTTGCATTGGATTGGAAATTTACAGAAATTCAGAGAATTGTGCTGATCAAGAAAAGTGGGTATTTCAAATAGAGGTCTCTTAAGTATGTGCTTGTTTCCAATGAAGTGGTGGTGAAGTGTTTTTCTTGAAATGGGACCAGATGTTTGCCTAATTAAGGAAAGCTTTAGGTATAAAAACAAATATTTTGTTAAGTGATGTCTGCTGTGAAAACAAAAAAGATACAGAACTTGAGAGGGCAGGAAATAGATGGTAGGCCACTACCCATGAAACCCTTCATCAATGTCTTTTCCTTCCTTGCACCAGTGCTGGTTCCTGATACCAAGCAGTCTTTTTCAATAAGCAAACCATCATACAGAAGCCATTGTCTATAAGTTATGTCATTGATTTAATTGAGATGGGCACTTAAACAAAACACAGAACATTTTAATGTTCATCATTCCTCCAGAATCACAGTTTTCCACACAAAGCCCTGCTGGGCACACTCACGTTGGTTTTGGACAGCTGTACCAGTTCATGAATTACCAGTTGGAGATCCCAGACAATAGGTTGGGCCCCTGCATTGCGCTGGAGCTTGTTCAGTTGTACTAAGGAGCACTTTAGAAGCTTTTAGGCTTTTCAGTGCTATATCAGTAACTCATCAAACATGTCAAAAAAAGCTCTTGAAAATGATTTCTTGTGAAATCAGCTTGAAAGAAAGGTTCATTTTCACAAGTACAAGAAGGAACTTTTAATCACTCTATCTCCTCTTGTTAGGCTCTGCTTAGAAAGGTTAAAATTTAGATCTGT